ATTTTTCGAAAAATACCTCGCATAACTGATTGTATCAACCACTCAGTATTGTAGCTGTGTCGGTGGTTTACAGAATTTAGCTCTAGAGAAAAAAATGGATTCGGCGTGAACTTAATTGAGAATTCTAAAATTTGTTCGCTCACTTTTATGCGGCAATTTTCGTTTAAAGTAGTCTTGTCAATCATTTTGATGGCCACCTGGAAAGTTGAAAACAAAAAATCAGAATAGTCCATCAGAATTCCCACACTTCTTGCAGGCTCTACAAAATCATGTTTGGACAGTTAGACTTCGAAACCTGCAACCTCAAAATGTACACAGGTTTAAAAAATCCCAATGTCTCTCTCTAACTTTTGACTGGTCATCATTGTGCAAGGTGCACGTTTCCATGAATATTCAGTAGTTTTTATGTTCGTACTGCGTACACGTAATTGCCATTTTACATCAAGCCACTATTTAATTATAAGTGTACGCATTATTAGACAAAATTCACAGTGTCCAACTAGTACTCTAATGAAGGCACATGATTTTTGCAGTGCATTTTTACCGGAATACTTGGACAATTATGTGAAACTGCTGGTCTTTTCTGCAACAATTGCTTTTTTGTTTTAAAAGAGAATCGTTGCGTTAACATTTGAAACCAATGTGATAATTTATGCACGAATAACGATAATATCATGTTATCATATTTGAATATTTTAATGTGTTTACATTTTTCACTTACTTCTCAGACGTAATTAGTCAAGGAGGAAGGATAACGCCCAAAATTAAACCAGATGCTTGATTCGGTACTCTGAGGTGCACGTTACATACTGCATATTACAATGAATGTATCAGTCGTAAGGAACATATTGCAGTTCATATGTTGTTGCATTCCACGTAGTTTAGGTGCTGCTCATATGTGAATCGAGTATCATGAATGCGTCTCGGACAGAAGCAAATTAACTGATTGATATATCTTATTTGCAAAACACATTTTTCGGTCGAAATCTTGTCAAAGCCGGTGGGTGAACACTATGATAAGAATTGTAGGGGAATATTACACTGTTTTTGAGAGAGTACGATTCAAAGAATCGAGAAAATTTGATGTTTTCCGAGCTGTTTGTTACAAGCCATATTTATCCATGTCTGATTTGACTATGGCGTTCGTTCTGTGCGGGTCACAAATGATGTTGCTAACGGTAACATACGCTTCCCCTTTAAATAGAACGATGTAGGATCTTGAAACAAAGTTGGACGCGAGGATATAGGATTCTGAAACGATTGAAAATTGTAACTTATCAAGTTGCGAACGACCAATGTGGCCACAACGTTGTGTAACATACATCTGCCGTAGTATGTAACAGTGCGTGATTGGAAAATGTGTCGGTGAAACAATGAGCAGATGTATGCCACAACTGAACATATCCGTTTGGGAAGAGAAACTGAAATGTGGTGCTGCAGTTGGAAGTGAGACAGACTCCGAAATAAAACACGGCGCTGTCTCGTTCAGATAACAAACGAAACATCCATGCTGTATGAATGGGCATAGAAGAACAGCACTGTGGATCTTTGCTGGCGCATGTACAATTAAATTCGCTCTGCTATCTTGTGAGTCAGATGGCACCACTGACGAAGAAATGGGCCGTGTGATTTTCAAACTCTTCCACAGAAACCGATGAAAATCGATTATTGGAGGTTGACAGTTTTCATCCGGTCAACATGGGGTCTACAAATGATGCTCAAGACAGGTTGGCTGACAGATTTAAATTGGCATTAGTGACCAGTAGTTTTGCCAATTTGATGATTTAGCTGAGACCCAATTAGAAAAAATCAGGGCTTTGGCTGGATTAGAACGAGCGCCAGAAATAGCATACCTGAATGCGACAAGCGCTCTACCAGCTGAGCTACGAAGCCATACCAGAAGCTCGGACAGCACGCATTTAGATTCGGTTGCTCACCTGTCCCACCTGTCCCATGGAATCCACCAAATGATCCAGGGAATCGGCTGCCTCGGCAAGATTTATGAGACAGTTCACATTGGAATCCACCAACACCACCGACATATAAAAGCACCACAGTTCAACGTAATTCATTCAGAAACGACGAAGTGTTGTAATGTAGCCGTAAGGTGCGATCAGGTTATTTGTTTACTTAAAAAATGCGGCAAACGGGAACTCCAGCTCTTATATTCATGGTGACAAATGTCCAACGGCTTTACATCTTCAGATTTTGTTACCTAAGTTTGCTCTAATTTAAATAGACGGTTGGTTTGACTTTGTGGTCATTTGAAGAAGGGTGGAAGAATTTCTTCAGTGTGCCAGATTTCATGCATATCTGCTGGTTTAGCATGCGGAATACTCGAAATACTTGCGAATTCCCCGCACTTGGTCGGAGCTGCCAAACGTGTTTGACAGCAAAGTTTATAGTTAGGACATTTGTGTTATTGTTGACATACCTCGATGCAGGGATGAAGCACGAAAACATTGTGACATGACGTGTAAATCTCTTAGACCGTGTTGGTCGTGACACCTCAACTTTGCAGCCTCCCTGACACATAAGCCTGGATGCTTACGTAGTACCTGTTCTGAAGATGACGAATTCACTTTAATATAAGTTGACATGCTGGCTATTCGTCATTTCAACCCCAATGAAGCAAGTTTCGGGCAGTATTCCATTAACGGTTCATTTGAATTGATCAGTGACTTAGAAAACAGCAATCTTGCTAATAAACTGACATGCTATGGTATATGTTAACTCACTGTTCACGAATGTCCCACTACAAGAAGAAATTGGTTATACTTGTTGGTTCATTGAAACCAGCCCGATTAACTTGCCTCTGATTAGTGATATTTTGAGGGAAGCCTTGTTTTTCATGCACTGAAAACGACAGTTCCGCTTTGTTGATCGGTGCTATCTCCAACTAAATAGAGTAGCCATGGGAAGTCCTCTAGGGTCAGTCTTAACAAACGTTTTTTTTATGCTTAAGGATTGAGCACCAGTTAGCTGCAGATGTAGTGAGTCTGTCATACTACAAACGCTACCTCGATGATACAGTTGGTTCAAACAGGTAATAGATAAACTAGTTCGGTGCTTGAATATTTTTCATTCTAGACTAGTGGTAATGCGTGAATTTGATGTTGGCGATTGTTTGCTTTTCCTAGGCAAACATAAGTCTTCGGGAAGATGGATCTATTAAAATGAGCTGTGTATAAGAAATCCACCTGGTCCGACCAATATCTGAACTGTAGTAGTTTCACACCGGTCCCTTACAAACATGCAATGATAAATACGTTATTCACACAAGCAAGGCGAATCCGCACGCAGGACAATCTTCCTGAGAAATTAGGCCTTGAGCATATCCGTACTACAATCGAATGAATTATTCTAAAAATCTCATAGAAAGGCACAGTAGACTGAAGCCGCCATCCGAACAGGTGGTCACCGTGAGAAAAAGGACGGTTAACATAGACTTGTATCCTAAAAGTAATAACAATATGAACCAAACAACGTGAAAACTAAAAAGTTTTAATAAACGAACATTTAACGCAGCCAAACCTTCGTGTGTATAGCTCAGAGCTAGAAGTTGTCTGTGTTATCACTCAGTGGAGATCAGCCTTTAGGTGCCACCTGAAGTTGTGTTTACCAGTTCATAAGTAACTGCGGAGAAAGTTACGTGAGTAAAACCAACAGATGCGTGATCTTCAGAGTGAAAAAACATTCGCCTAATCAGTGTGCAACTCCAAATTACTGTAGAGCGGCAATGTCGTTGAAACACGCGATCAAAAGACATGTCCCAATAATTGGTCAGGTTACTGAACCAGCTTGTGCATTCAGAATCCTATCACGTCATTCTGGTCCAAGATTCTTGCGGTTTGCTGAGGCGACCGTAATCAGTCGGCCTGAGTCGCCTTGTGTGTTCGGAAATAATTGTCCTAGAACCTGACCCTACCCTAAACTCAGTGTCCTTTTCTAACCCACCGATTGGCTACCTATCCCATCCATGTGATAGTTTGATATAAAAACTTAATTCATATGAGTGTAAATTTGTAGCGACGAGTGAATGTAAAATACTTGCATCTATCACTCCTCATGACTTAACTGGTTTGACCACAATTCTTAAGTGAACGAATTGTTATGAAGACATATGTAGCTAAAAAGTTCCCTCCATTTCAACAAAGCAGGCATCCTGTTTCGATGTATCTGATTTCTATCCTTGCAGGCAAACAGTCCGATGATAGTGCCTTATCTCGACAACTATCTCTAAATGTGGTTCGACTCAATCTGAGCCTCAACATGACCGTCTGAATGTGTAAATTTTAGTGTCAGTGCTTGTACTGGGTGGCCGCTGCCTCAAAATTCTGTCTGAATGCGAAAGCTATTACCATGGCGTGAATGGTACTCACTTGACAAATATCCACCGTGTTGATGTCAAGCGCTGGGACCAAGGTTTGGCAGTGAATCTGATTTTTATTTGACAGTAATGGGTAGACTTTGCCTGAGGATTGAATGCGTAATTTGACTTTCTACAGTAGTTCAGAAACACAGATATTGTCTGATTGTAAAAGTTGGGAAATAAGACTGCTCGAGACCATTTCTCGGTGGGTTCATACAAGCTCCACGGCAAATTAGTACTGAAATAACTTCCTTTGTCATTAGTCAAAGAAAGCTTACGCGTTAAGCCTCAGTTTCCTCTTCTGTTGTGACTAGGAATGGCGGAACGGCTGATTTGACATAGTGGTCGTATGACAAAAGACAATCGCATTTATCCACTCAATCTATGAGTAACTTTCAAGATGGGTTACCGGTGGGATACTTGCAACATCCTTGTCTTTGACCAAAATGGATGGACACGGTTGGGTTAATTGTTACCCGTATTAGTGTGACTGAATTTCAAAAGCCTGAATATTCGTGTGTCTGTGTGTTTAAGTTTTAACTGTCTGTAGTGTACCTGCATTAGAGTACGGTGATCGTTTAGTAATTTGTGCCCTCAAAATGCACCGTCTATAACAAAGTGATTTGCAAGACGTGTAAGATTCTAACCTCTCACATTGAAGACTCATACTCACTCAACCTGTGGACCGTTAACGTCATTTAACTAAATGGTTCTAATAGGAAACTTGACTGACAATCTAAGATATGTGTCCAACCCGAGTGGTTATTGTGAACTCAGAAGAGGGTCACAGTACGCTACAGATCCTGTAATTCGATGAGTATTTCAACACGGAACTACAGATGACTGCACTTGTTCAGATGACAACAACAAAATACAAGAAAATACATAGTCCTTTTGGAATGATTAACATTGAGTAACAAACCTCGTAGATACGAGCACTAACATGGTAAGAAGAACACTACAAAACTCGCGCAAAATTGCGTCGATCAGTAGTTGTGCCCGGTTTGTCTGATACTAAGTCTGCAATGTTGCACGATAAGGAGGAACATGAGTAATCGGAACTTTTAAAATTCCCAAGACAGTTGGATTATTTTCATAACTGACTCGGTTCATCTCATTCAATGGTCACCCAAAACAAACAGTTCTAACCCTGTTCTAGCTCTGCTATGACCAAGTTCTCCTATGAATGAACATCTTTGTTTTATTTCCCTACCGATCCATATGTTGAACACCAATTTTGCTTACCGGACTGTCTATAGACAGTAGTTCAGAACCCACTTAATCAGTGGGTTTTATTCACGTGACACAACAAGTTTGCCAGTTTTTGGAATAAGTGAGCACACTTAGATAAGTAAATTGTTTGTGCCTAACCGGATCCGATTTGATGATGAAAGTTTTAGATATTTTTCCATCTGAACTGATACCAGTAGATTCAATGGTTTTACAACATTAAGCTTGTAGTCACCTGTTCCGTAACATCCGCATCGAAACCCAACAGATCTTATTTGCCATAAACAGTTAAAGTATGAATCAAAAAGGTGCGTTTTAGAAAAAGTGAACTCATTTTCCGCAGTCTTTGGTGAACTAAAATTGCTTACACTCTAGCCGGAATATATGAGGGTCCTGAATTTATTCGTGTAGTTTCAAATCTGATCGTAGGTTATTTTCCATAGAAATGTATTATTGTTTCTGACAGAAGTTTGTTAGCATTCGGTTTTTCCAAAGAGGTCCAATGTACTTATACATACGTGTTATCGGTTCACTGATACTGAACTTTTGTCGTGAGCAGTGCTGTGGTCTAAAATAACATCAGTGTGGGCGAATGGTTTGTAGAACACATGGTCTTTTGTGAAAGACCCGGATTCTCTGCAAACGAACAGTCCAAGAAAACGCATGACATTTGTGATTAAAGACCACGTCGAGGGCATTTT